TGTAAATATCTAAAGAATTTAGAAATAATTTATGTATGTGTTAATTACTTGTAAAATATAGAAATTATAAGTGTTTTTAGTATGTATCTTCTTAGATTTACACAATCTCTTCTATTACTCTGTATAATACCTCATCTAGTACTTTATCTATTACTCTGTATATTACCTCATCTACTACTTTATCTATTACCTCTTCTATTATCCTTTATCTATTACCTCATCTATTACCTCGTCTATTACTCTGTATATTACCTCGCCTATTGTATGTTATTCAAACATTTTTCAAAATATTTATGACTTATATTTGTTCGAATTATAGTTTATAAACACATATTTATATATTAAATTAAACCTGAAAAGATAGAAAGTAAATTTTACTTGATTTTTGTTAATATTAAACATATATTGATTTTGTTTGCTAAATAATTAATATTTACATGAAGTCTATATGAAATAGTAATAAAGGGATCTGATAAATGATATATAGGAATATTAAAAGATAAATAAGGCTGTGTTACGGCAATAATTAGAATGTATAAAGAATAAATGGATTGGAGAAGAAAAAACCTTATAATATAAAAGACAGGTCTATTTGACATTGAAGGTTATTTTATTATATTATGGCAAATATATAATTCTATTGATGGATTAATTATAGATTCTTGAACACTGGTAAAACCGTCCATGAAAAAGTTATGGCAACATAGTTATATAAATTATAACTAATAGTTGGCTTTTTAGAAGATATTTCTTTTGCTCTTTAAATCTTCATTTTAAAAACTTCTTATCTATTAACTATTTAAAGAAAATACAGATTAAATTAAATATCTAACGAAAAAAAATAAAAATTACCACAATAATTACTAAAAATCTAAAAAAATTTTATAAAACGGTTTTTTTCTCAATCACTAGGGATGGTTAATCAGCAAAACGAAATGTATGCTACATGTGTTGTGCAGATTACACCCATTTCCCTCATTTTTTAGATTTATGTATATTATGAGGTAATATTAGTCGAATTGCTTATTTTGAATAAATTAATGTAATAGATCATTAGGGAGGATAACCACATACGCAAACTATCTGTTTGGTAATGAGTGTGTGAAACTGATGTGAAGATCATTGGTTGTTTTTGTTGGGAATAAAACGACTCTAGTTTTCCGTTCTTATATAGAAGTTTGCATAAAGACGAAAAAGGTCTACCAAACGGCGAAACTTTTTCTCCAATTTTTTTTGCAGTTTTTTATGTAACTAGATTGCAGACCGCAGCTAAACTTGTAGGTAATTGCCATGTAAAAGCATGGAAAACTAGCCTTGCTCACTCAGGTTAGAAGATTATGCACCTGGGTGATATTAAAATAAAACCATTAAAAGCCGGGAGAGCTAAGTAGCAGGTTATACCTGTTGGTATGAAATTGCACTGTCTAGGTGGACCCCAAGTAAATCTCTGAAATATACCTTGGCCAGAAGTTTATTGGGTTCAGAAAGTGTAGGGTAAGTGGGAATGTTGCATAGTCTTGGAGGAGCCTAGGGGGGGCTTCGGACTTCGATCACACTCCATGCAACGGACATTAAAGAACTCCGGGCAACTGCCTCGTTTAGTAATTAGGTTCTACACACCTGGCAGATGAAAGGCTTTGGGATGTAGGTATCGCAGGGGTTACCGATGGGGTATTGGGGTAACAGTCATTTATGTTAAACCTAGAACTGCGGTAATGTCATGAAAACAAATATAACACTTGCCACTATTCTGAAAAGATGTAATACTTTTTAATATTATAAATAAAAAATATTAAAATGGGGTAGGCTTATGAAATATCAATAGAAATGTGGTGTTATAAGTGCTATATAGGAATTTCAAAGTTCGAATAAGGCTAAAATCATAAAAATTATTAGGATTTATAAAATAAATGGATTGAAGAAGAAAAAACTATATAATATAAAAGACAGGTCTATTTGACATTGAAGGTTATTTTATTATATTATGGCAAATATATAATTCTATTGATGGATTAATTATAGATTCTTGAACACTGGTAAAACCGTCCATGAAAAAGTTATGGCAACATAGTTATATAAATTATAACTAATAGTTGGCTTTTTAGAAGATATTTCTTTTGCTCTTTAAATCTTCATTTTAAAAACTTCTTATCTATTAACTATTTTAAGAAAATACAGATTAAATTAAATATTGTACAAAAAAACAAAAAATACCACAATAATTACTAAACATCTAAAAAAAAATTATAAAACGGTTTTTTTCTCAATCACTGGGGATGGTTAACCAGCAAAACGAAATGTATGCTACATGTGTTCTGCAGGTTAAACCATCTCCATTTTTTGTATTTATTTACATAATAGAATTATATTACTCGAATTAATTAATTTGAATAAATTATTTGTCTTGGATTGCTAAGAGAGGAAGGATAATTGCAAAAAACATTTTTGTTGCAATGAATATGAAAAATTGGTGCAGATATTGTCTAGGTTTTTGTGGAAATAAAACACACCAAATCTTCGGTTGTTCCATGGGTGTTTTTGTAATGAGCAGTGGTCTAAGAAATGGAGAAACTTTTTCTACAAAATTATTTTTAGTTTTTTATCTAACCAGATTGCAGACCGCAGCTGAGCATGTAGGTAATTGCCATGTAAAAGCATGGAAACCTAGCCTTGCTCACTCGGGTTAGAAGACTTAGCGCCTGGGAGATACAAAACAAAAAACCATTTAAAGCCAGGAAAGCTAAGTAGCAAGTTATACCTGTTGGTATGACATTGCACTGTCTAGGTGGACCCCATGCAAGTCACTGAAATATATCTTAGCTAGAAGTTTATTGGGTTCAGAAAGTGTAGAGTAAGTGGGAATACTGCATATCTTTGGAGGAGCCCTAGATAAGTTAAAACCTATAATAAACTCCATGCAACGAGCATTAAAGAGTCTCTATGATACTGCTTCGCCACCAATTGGATTTACGTACTTTCTAGATGTAATGCCTTGGAATATAGGCATCAAATGAAGTCCCGATGTAGTGCTTGGTTCAAGTTATTGTATTAATGGCTAACCTAGAACTGCGTTAATATTATGAAAAAAAATGAAACATTTGCCACCGCTTTAAAATGATATGATATTTTAATATTTTAATTAAAAATATTAAAATGTATTTTATAAAATGTCAATAAGAAATGTGCTACAGATGATATATAGGAATTTAAAAAGATAAATAAGATATATGCCAGGAAATTATTTGAATGTATAAAAAATAGATTGTGTATCATATAAAAAATAATCGAAAAGTCTAAGAACTTGAAAAGTACATTTTATTTTATTAATGTAAAATATATTGCTAAGTTTTAGTATATTACTTTCTCAAAACACCTAAATTCTAATAAAACCGTCTTTAAAAAGGTTATAACAATATACTTCTTTTAATCGGACTGACAAAATATTTTCTCTCGAAATTTATCATTTGCTCTTCACATTATTAAACCCCAACATCAATGACAGAAATCAATTAGCTATTTAAAGAAAATTCGCGATAAAACTAAATGTTAGACGATAAAAACAAAAAATACCACAATAATTACTAAAAATTAAAAAATTATTTTATAAAACGATTGTTTCATAATTTTTGGAGATGTTATACCAGCAAAACAAAATGTATGCTACTTATGTTCTGCAGGTGGAACATCTCCCCTTTTTTATAGACTTTGGTAATACAATAGAATAAGATTACTAGTGTTCTAAAATTAAAATATATAATTCCTATTGTAACATTAAATTACTGCTTTTAAACTACTTCCATTGAATATTTGGAAATTGAACAAATAATTGGATTTTATTTAAGTCATTTTGATTTTTGGTTCTTTATGTTTAGCTTAATCTTTCCATTTCTCTTATATTCAGTCTCAATAATATTTGACTTTAATCCTAAATTCCAGAGTGCATTTTTTGAGGTTATTGTTCAGCTAGAATCTTTCAGGTTCTATATTAACAATATTTGCTTGTTTAAAGCTTCATTCGTGGTAGAATCTATATATATATGCGCTGTTTAGCTATGTATTACATTATCCTATATTTTTCTTTCCTTTCTTCTAGTTCAATCATGCCCAGTTCATTTCCTAAATCAAAGAAATTCGTTTTCGGTATTTTAAGGTATTTTTAATAGAAGAACCAATTATTCATAAAAATACGAGGTTTTTAAGTAAATTTTCTTAACTTTGGCTACAAAAGAATATTTTCGTATTAAAACGACCCGCAGTTACAAAATTCAAACTCCTATACTTGGTAACCATTTAATATTATGAGTGAAAATTCAACTACTATTTAAGAAAATAATCCATTTTTTAAGCATCATAAGGAGTTATAATATTATATATTATTAACACTGACATATAGATAATATATAATTACTTCTCTGTAAGATTTAATTTCTTGGTCTTTTCAGTTTAAATTATTCGAAGCGAATATTTTAATAACACTTGTAAACAATTATATTTACAAACAAAAGAACTGTTAAATTGCAGATAAGATCAGCATGAACTAAAATTTGAATTCTATAATAGTGCTTCAATCAAAAGTATATATTAGACTGAAATAAATATAATTCCCTTAAATGAAAAATAAATCCATAGTTTTTACAAATTCAAAATATATTCTTAAAATACGCGGTATAAAAAAGTACTTTTCCTATTCTTAATTCTTTATTCTAAATAATTTAAATATTCGATTAATTAGCTATTCACACGTTGATTTTACTTCATCTTAAATGATAAATTTGTAACAAAAAATTCATATGAAATCAAAAAACACAAAGACAGAATTCTATAGAGTTTTATAGAATCTAAATATAACCAACTTATAATTCAAAAATTCAAATTTATAACAACGAATTAAAGATATCAAAGTAATTATTATACTAAACACATTTACTTAATTTCATTCCAACAAAAGTCTAAACATATACTTTATAAATATTATATACAATTATTAATCAATTCTTTAAGCGTAAATAGTCTAGTGGTAGAATGCGGCCCTTCCAAGGCTGAGGTCCGGGTTCGATTCCCGGTTTACGCATACTTTTTATAAATTTAAATTTTTGTCTAAATTTTTTAAAAATTACATAGCAATTTAAATAACCTTATTCTTATAAATTAAAAATAACCATGTAAATTCTATTTTTTACTAAAGAGTTAAAATATTTCCTAAAAGAGAAATGTAAAAATTATCTCGATATTTCATTTTAATACTTTATTTATACATTTTGTATTTAAAAAACATATAAAAGATAGTTTTTAAACTTTAAGTATTCAAATTTGTTTTTATAATATTTTCATAAAAATAATTATTTTACAAAAAATGAAATTTTTTTATTTAATTTTAAATAAAGTTTTACAGGTGTCATTAGACTTTTAAAAAATAATTATTTTACAAAAAAATATTTTTTTATTTAATTTTAAATAAAGTTTTACAGGTGTCATTAGATTTTTAAAAAATAATTATTTTACAAAAAAATATTTTTTTATTTAAGGTTTTGTATGAATAAATTTAATGAAATATTTCTTAGATTAATACAGTTTAGAATTGAGGAGTAAAAACCAATTATTTTCTTGGTTATTCCAAAGCAATAATTTCAAATACCTTTTAAGAAGTAAAAACCAATTATTTTCTTATCAGATCCAAAGCAATAATTTCAAATACCTTTTAAGAAGTAAAAACTAATTATTTTCTTGGTGATTCTAAAACAATAATTTCACAGAATTCAGAAAAAAGATCTTTGGTATTTAAAGGGGTAATTAAAATTACTTGGCTGTTTTTTTCAGAGAGAAATTCTAATAAACTTCTTATAGCATATTTTCTTGTAATATTATCCATATAAACATCAAATTCATCTAAAATTTTAATTGGACAACTTAGAAATGACCAGAAACTTAAGAGAAGACAAATACCTGAATATGAACGTTCTCCACCTGAAAGTGTATTTTTTGAACCACCAGACACTGTATTGTCTATTTTCATGGTGACTTCAAGTTTTTTTTCGTCGTGATTAAAAAAAAGTTTTCCAATACATTTTCTTTGTGCCGTGAGTTCTTCAAATTTAATTGATGCTTGTTCAGAAATAGTAATTTTTAAAGCTTCTCGTTTTTCAATTCGTTTCTTCATACATTCAGACAATTTAAAAATTTTAGATTCATAATTTGAAATAATTTTTTGATTAAATTTTATTTTTTTATTTATTTGAATCAAATCTTTTTTTATTTCAGTTTCAATACCAGAATTTTTAGAAATTTGAAGATTTGCTAAAACAATATTTTCCTCTTCAATTATTTCTTCTAAATTTCTAGGATTACAAATTTCTTTATATTTACTTTTTAATATTTCTTTTTCCTTCTCAAGTTGAATTTCAAGTGTATATTTTTCATTAAAAATATCTTGAAGTTTAAATTTTGTTGAAGAAATTTTTGAATCTATCAGTTGTATCTCCAATCTTTTCGTATTTATTATTTTGTTTGTGTCTTGAGTTTCATTAAAATTTATTTCTTTCAATTTACAAATTTCATTTTTACAATTTTCTATTTCATTTTTAATATCAGAAAGTTTCAAAGAAAGATGTTTCTTCTGTGTTTTTAATCTTTCAATTTCTTCATCTAAATTTTCAAAATCATCTTTTATATTTTCTTTATTGCTTTGAACAGATTCTATACATTTAAGTTCTGATAAAATATTTCTTTTATTCTTTTCTAAGTCATCTATCCGTTTAAATGTATCCATAATTAATTTTTTTACTTTTTTTAGATCTTCTTCTGCTGATTTTTTTATTTCAGTTTTTTTTAAATTTTTTAATTCGTCTTTCAAATTTTCAATTTTAAATGAAGAATTTTCAAAATAAAATTTATTTGAATTTCTTGGTCGATAATCTGATAAACTATTTCTAAACATTTTAATTCTGTCACCTTCTATTGTATAAGCACTATCTACATTTAAAGGCATACTTTTAATAACAGAATACGCTTCTTTTCTAGATTCAATTAAAATTATTTGTTCAATATTTGAAAAAATAATTAATTGATTTAAAACAACCGTTTCTTTAATATTTAAAACATTTAAAACTGTTTTAAATTTTTTATTTTCTTCAAATTTTATTTCTTTATTATTTTTTAAAGAAGGTAATAGAATAGAACCACTGTAATTATATTTTTTAAAAATATTATTTAAGGATTCTCTATCCTCTGAATTAAAAACAATAAAACTACTAATAATATCTTTTAAAATAATACTGACAGGTTTGTACCATTTATGTTCTTTAAGTTGTATATATAACCCTATTGGTCCAATAATACGGTCTTTTGTTTTTAAAGATTTTATTTCATTCATTATATTTGGCATATTTTCATTAAAAAAAGATATCAAATTTTTTTCAACTTTTTCAAAATACGAAATTTGATTTTTTAATTGAAAAATTTTATTATTTTGTTCATTAATACTCTTCTCATTTCTAAATTTACAGCTTCAAAACACTTTTTTTCTTCTTCTAAAGCTTCATTTTTTATTTCTAAAAGTTTTTCAAAATCTTTTTCAAATTCTAAAATTTTATTTTTTTTATTTTTTATATCTTTTTCAACTCTCTTGTCATCAGAATTTAAATATTTAGAAATATTTTCATTCATTTCGTTTTTCTTTAAAATTTTATTATTTAAATTTTCTTCTAAAAAATTTAAATCGTTGCTTATTTCTCTATTTTGTAATTCTAAATTATTTAATTTATTTTCACAATTCGTTACTTCTGTTTGATGTTTTCTTTTAAATCTTTCTCGTTCTTGTTTGGTATTTTCTATATCTTCAATTAAAAAATCCAATTCTTTAATAAAATTATTTTTTTCATTTTCAAATTCACAAATATTTTCTGTAATTTCTTTTATATTTCTTTCTTTCTCAATAATTTGAATATTTTTTTTTTCAAACCTGGACCACTCTTTTTCTGATTCTAAATTTTTTAATTTATTTTCGTATTCCTTTGTCTTATAAATCGCTTCTAAACAATTTGTCTTAATTTTTTGTTCATCAAGAAGTTTTTTTAATTGTAATGTTGACATGTCAATCTTTTGTTTCATCTGTAAAATATTATTTTCTGTTTCTACATGTAAATCTGTCATATCCTCTAATTCAGTACCTTTGGTAAATAAAGAATACAACAGTTCTGGTTTAGAAATATTTAAAAATTTTTTAGATTGCTCTTGTGTCAGAAAATTTAACGGATTGTCAAGTCTAAGAGAAAATAAATCTAAAATATAATCCAAATCTTCTTTTTTACTTGAAAATAAATTATTTTTTAAATTGTAAATACTTAAAGGCGCAGAATCTTTTCTAAGTCGCTTTTCAATAATTATAAAATCTTTAAAAAACGATCTTTTATAATTTTTAATATTTCTTAAAACAACTCGTATTTTTGCATTTATTTCTCCATCTTTTATTAAATTTTTGTAACTGTTTCCTCTTTCTAATGAATAAGCTCGTTGTCCAAATAATAGACCTATGGCTATCATAATTGCACTTTTTCCACTTCCATTTCTACCACCGATACAAGTCATCATTTTGTTAAATTCTATAAATAAATGCTTGTGACACATAAAATTTTTAAGTTCGATTGAAACAAGAAGTGGCTTATCAATAGAAGTATCGCTCATTTCTGGGGAAAATATTTTAACGTTTTTTTTTTTAAAATATGTCAGTAAAAATTTTTTGAAATTCAATTATTAATAAAAATAGAAATTTAATTTTTTAATGTGGAGAAAGGATAACCACATAAAAAACCTTTTGCTTGGCAATGAGTGTGTGAAATTGGTATGAGAATCATTGTTTGAATTTTCGGTGGGAATAAAACCATATACATCTTCATTTGTTCCATGGGAGTTGTTATGAGGAGGAGAGGTCTAAGAAATGGCGAAACTTTTTCTAAAAATTTATTTTGGTTTTTTATGTAACCAGATTGCAGACCGCAGCTGAACATGTAGGTAATTTTCATGTAAAAGTATTGAAACTTAACCATGCCTTACTCGGATAAGAAGACTTGGCTCCTGGGAGATATAAAAATTAAAACCATTAAAAGCCGGGAGAGCTAAGTAGCAGGTTATACCTGTTGGTATGACATTGCAGTGTCTAGGTGGACCCCATGTAAATCTCTGAAATATATCTTAGCTAGAAGTTTATTGGGTTCAGAAAGTGTAGAGTAAGTGGGAATGCTGCATAGTCTTGCGGGAGCCCAGGGGAGGCTTTGGCCTTCGATCACACTCCATGCAACGGACATTAACGAACTCCGGGCAACTGCCTCGCCTATTAATTAGGTTCTACACACCTGGTAGATGAAAGGCTTTGGGACGTAGGTATCGCAGGAGTTACTGATGGAGTTTTGGGGTAGCAGTTATTTATGTTAAAGCTAGAATTGCGTTAATGTCATGAAAACAAATATAACACTTGCCACTATTTTAAAAAGATGTGATACTTTTAAATAAAGTCTTATATTTTTTATATTTTATTTCTTTATATTTTCTTTGCATTTCTAATTACAAAATAAATTCTTAAATCTTGAATATTTATTAATATTTTTGAAATATAAAAATAAATTCTTAAATATTTATATAATCTAATTACAAAATAAAAGAAAATTAGATTACTAATATCAAAGTTAAAATATATTTATAGAATAATTAAAATAATACTTAGCTATTGTAAATAGAATTTAATTAAATCTTTGTTTTTTAAAAAATAAAATTTAAGAATAATGAAATGGTAAAAGTAAAAAAAAATCTTTAAATTTATCTTAAAATTAACTCAAATTTAAAATTTAGTTTTATTTTGTAACTAATTGGATGTAAATTTATAATCGAGATTTGATGATTTACTTATTCTATTATAAAATTTGGTTTTATTTTGTAACGAATTGGATGTAAATTTATAATTTGGATTTTGATGATTTACTTATTCTATTATAAAATTTGGTTTTATTTTGTAACGAATTGGATGTAAATTTATAATTTGGATTTTGATGATTTACTTATTCTATTATAAAATTTGGTTTT